GTGAAAATTGAATGAATTTAGGCTGAGACTTCTGATAAACATGGTAGATTAAGCCTTCGTGAGGACAGATGCATGGAACGACAGCAAAGGTAGATCAAGACACAAAGCCACAAGGGAGAGTGGGAGGTGACACAGGCAGCCATGGGGGCTGCAGGAGAATCTCATGAGCCAGACTGTGGGTGGGTGGGTGGGTTGGGGGTGCCTGGCCCAGGGCCACAGAGGGACAGGGTGGTGGGGAGAAACCAGGTGGTCCTGCAGAGCCCTGCAGATGGCAGGGCTGGAGGCCGCCTCACAGTCCCTCTGAGGAGTTTGCCTCCCCTGTCTCCCCACCAAGTCAGAAGCTCAGGGAAGGAGGCCCTGGGTTGAGCGGCTGAAGCCACAGCCGAGAGTGAGGGCCAGGCCTGTTCCCAAAGTGGCGTGGGGCAAGGGAGTTTGCAGCCTATGGACTGGCCCTCCAGCCCCTTCTTCCGAAGTGTGGCTGCCCCTCAGCTGTGTTCTTCCCATCTGCGGAAACTGGACAGACCAGGAGGACAGACTCACACAGATACACCTTTGGGGACCTGTCAGTTGGGTGTGGATGACACAGATCTGTGCAAACATGTTATATCCCGGAAATTCACTTCCATTATCCTTGTCCCAGGCAGCTACCCCCATGAGGGACTAAACCAAGGAGGAGACCCCCAGGGTCTGGCTCCAACCTCGCTGGTCCCAACTGATGGCGCCCCAGCCACCCGAGTGGTAGAGAGGGGAAGGCAGGCGTGGGCAGTCTATCCTGATAGGAGAAGGTGCCGGGCCTCCAGGGTGCACGTGTGTCATAGTAGGACCACAGATGGGGAGGTGTGTAGCCAGGCGGGAGGAAATGTGGGGCTACAGTGGGGACCCAGAAAGAGCTCCCCTGTAGAAAAGAGGTATGTGGTCAGCTCTTTTGTTCATTAATTTCCATATTTGTAGGAGATAAACAGATCTGTCTGCTGTGCCAGCAGAAGAGTGGTCTGTTTCCACCATCCAATAGGAAAATGCAGACAGAAAACGCTAAAAATGTGGAGGTTCCCCCTGGGCCAGAGGGATTCTAGATCTTTTTTTCCTTGTTTTTTTTGTATTTTATAATCTTTCAACAGTGAGCATGTGTTTTTAATATACAAGTAATAGAAATTTCTCAAGGAGGAGGATGCATGGATGGATGGAACGCCATCCCTGCTGGTGCTTGTAAAGGCTCCGTCCGCCAGGGTCTGGCTCCAACATCGCTGGTACCAACTGATGGTGCCCCAGCCACCCGAGTGGCGCTGGGTTTCTCCTGGAGGGCCCACACGAGATGGTCGTGACTTCTCCCAGCACAGCCCCTGGGAACACGCCCACTCCTTCCTTGATTTCCCACCTGGCCTATTTGACTCCCTTCATCTGCTTTAGGTAATGGCACATCTGTGGAAGTGGTGACCCAGGGCTGATCTCACCACGGGCATCTTTAAGGAGCCTGTGTCTTTGCTGCAGACGTTACCATCATCGCCTGCCCTGTCTTCTGTCGGAGGTGGGTGTGTTCTGGAATCATCTAGAATGTGATGTCACCATTTGCAGTGGAAGGCAGAGGAAATCAGCCCCATTCCTGGAAATGTGATGTATCAGAGAGTGTGTTTTCTTAAGGGATTCCTATAAAACTCAAAGAGTTTGACTTCAGTTTCCTTTTTTTCCATATTCTGATGTGACATTTAAATAAATGTTCATTTGCACATTTGCCTTTACAATAGAAATAATCTCTACTTCACCAGATTTTAAAAATGCCACATATGCATTAGAACAAGTTAAGCAGAGTGGTGCTGAAAGTTAGATTCCCTCCCCACCACCACTGCTTTCAACCCTGTAATCCAAGCCAACTGCTTGAAAATTGTGCTTCCTTGTGCTTTTTAGTTTTTGTTAATTAAAAAGAAAATCTCATGCCTGTAAGCCCAGCACTTTGAAGGCAGGAGGATCACTTGAAGCCAGGTGTTTAAGGCCAGCCTGGGCAACAAAACTAGACCCTGCCTCTACAAAAACTGTAAAAATAGTCAGGCGTGGTGGCACACATTTGTAGGCCCAGCTACTCGGGAGACTGTGGTGGGAGGATCCCTTGAACCTAGGGAGGTTGAAGCTGCAGTCAGCAGATTGTGCCACGGCACGCCAGCCTGGGCGACAGAGTGAGAGCCTGGCTCGATGGATGCAGAGAGAGATTAGGTAGGTAGGCAGGCATGTAGCAAGAGAAGTCAGTAGCTGAGGCCACCCTGCTGAGTTCTCCCCCTTGCTGTGCTGGAAGCCACTTTTCTAGACAAGGATGGGGAAGCAGCTCACAGCCACTCTGCAGCTCTGAGTCAGGGTGGAGGGAGGGCTGGGCTCTTCCCATTAACACAAAGGGAAGTCTGGATCGGCCCCCTCAGGATGATTCCTGTACTACCCTGGGTGTGTCCTCAAGGGAGATTAAAGGAAAACCTTTGTTTGCTTGATTTTTCCATGTGAGTCTTCTGTAATTTCCTTGTAATCTTGACCTGCCCCCACCCTCCACATCTTTCCTCTCCTGATGAGGTCACAGAGAGGTGTATTTAAATAATCTGGGGAGGATGTTATGCAGACAGACCTTGTCTAAGAGGGAGAAAGTGTTGAAAGTCTTATGTGATGGGATTTAAATTTCCACTGAGAGTAATTGAGCAATTTGTTGGGGGGGCTGTTTGGACTAGATCAGATGTAAAATAGAGCTGTTAACCCATAGAAGATGTTGAACTGTTAAGTCACAGGTTTGTCATAAAAATGTCCGTTGGTAAAATGCTTGCCTCTTTATTTCTCTGGGTTTCCTAGGGACCCAAATACAATAGAGACGCTCCAATCTTTTGGGAAGGATGTTGACTGGGCAAAGTCTGGAAAATTCACGCAGCAAGACATCGACCAAGGCAAACTGTCTTCTCAACCGTAGATGCTCCTGTCGCTCCTTCAAAGGTATTGTAACAGTGAGAATCTCAGTCCACAGCCTCGCAGATGACGTTGCTGTTTTCCGAGTTCCCTCATGTACAGGCAGGAGCACCAGCTTCTGGCTCCTCTGTCCTTGCCTGTGATACGATTTCCGCATCTGACACCCTAAACATTGACCTTGGAAACACGCTTCCCAACATCCGGGTGAGAAGAGTGCATCCTGTCATTTCAGTTTTACTGATCTGAGGCCCAGTGGGGCCAACCCATGGCAGTGACTGGGCTCATTAGTGTGGAAGGACAACGTGGGCATGGCCCAGGCCTGGCCACATTACACTGTAGAGCCACTTTTGCTCACAGCATTATCAGCCTCACGCAGCCCTGACTGCATCCACACTGCAGAAGCAGGCCTTGGTAAGAGTCAGCGTGGCTCGTGGGAGCTGGAGGTCAGGGTGTGATCTCTGGGCTGTTAGACATGACCCTGTGGTTGAAACACATACATGAAGTGAGATGCACCTGTCCCCTCCGGGACACGAGGGCACAGCCCACTGTGCAAGCTCCTGGGCAGCAGCCCCACCATGCCTGTGGTTTGTCTTCTAGGAATGGACCACTTCTTGTACGGCCTCTCGGATGAGATGAAGCAGGCCCACAGGGAGCAGCTCTTCGCCGTCAGCCACAAGCTCCTGGCCGTGAGCGATAGGTGAGTGGGGGAGACAGCGTCTGGGATTGGAGGCCTTAACGGCACTGAAGCAGAAGCCAGTCCTCGCTGACCTCGCCTGCCTTCCTCTCAGGTACCTCGGCACTGGGAAGAGCATGCATGGCCTGGCCATACTCGGACCCGAGAACCCCCAAATCGCCAAGGACTCATCCTGGATCATCAGATGAGCGGCCCTGGCGCCCCCGACTGTGCAGGAGCCCCTGAGAAAATCGCCCTCTGAGCTGAGTATGGAAAGTCAGAAATGCTATTGCTTTTTCCAAGAATATTATGTTATTCTTAAAGTGTTGCCACTGACTGGCAACTCAATCTTAAGAGCGACCAGGAAGACGTTCATTGAAATAGTCATGCATGAAATGCCAAAGATGCACGACATAGAATTTTCACTTTCTACTGACAGAAAGGCTTGTTTTACCTCATTAGTTCTTAAAAATAAAGGGTACCTGACTTAACCTCTGCTTGAGTCATTATTTTAAGTAGCATTTAGGACCTTTACTAAAAAACAGAAGTAAAATGAAAAGGTACACAAAGGTGTCCCACCCTCTGCCTGTGCTGATTCATGAAACTCGATCACACTGAGGCCCTATGGGAGCGTCCTCCTAACAGACGGAAGTTCAGCGGGGCGGCCGGATGGAAGCAGTCCTGAGAAGCAGGTGGGCTGGGGTGAGTAAGTGCTCGCTTCGTCTTCACAGAGCCGGAAAGGAGAGCCTGCACGCCAGCTCTTCTTGGCCGTTGGACTCTGATTTCCCAAATCAGCTTGTTTTCGGCTTCTCCTCTCCAATACAGTTCTCCGCCACCGTTTCTGAGGCACAGCTGTGGTCTCCTGCAGACTAGGAGCTATGAGGCAGAAATGCTGTCCGGACAGGAGGTGGGTCCACGAGGGCGGCAGGGCCGTCACCCCAGCACCCATGTCTACTCTGGCAAAAGTCATCAGAGAATTCCAAATTAGGTCCCAGCAAGGACCATGGCTTGGACTGGACGAGAAACTGGCTATCAGATTTTTCGAACCTCCACCTTGGTGGTTTTAACATGCAGCTAGGATTGCAATCAAGAGGCCGAGTAGGTAAGATTTATCTGTTCTCTTTTACTTTCTAAGGAGAGCAAGAGCCTGGGGTCGAGGCCCAGGGTCCTGGCCTGCTGCTGTGGATGGAAAATGACACATGGTAATAAACATGGTGTTCCCCTTGGCCTGTGTAAACTACTGGCTTTGTTCTCCTTTTATGACTTGTGTATAGTTCAGTGATCTCTACTAAAAATATTAAAATCTTTGCCCACAAAAGTGCTGAGAAAACCATTAGTAGCCACCCACAGATTGAGGTTTTAATCTCCTACTTAAAAAACTAAAACGGAGGACTGCTGGAGTTGTAGGCAAACGTTTAATACGCACATCTGAAAGCATGAGACACAGTCCACAGACAGCACGCACTGGAGCTGGTGGGGCACACGGGCGGTGACAGGTGCTTGCTGGTTAGGTATTAGTATCAATAATACTTGCATAAAGTGCTGATAAATAACTTAAGTGTTACAAAAACAGATGGTCCACGGTGAGTCCAGGTTGCAGGCACATGCAGGCAGGACTGGGTCAGATGCTCCAGGGCTGCATGTGCTCTAGCTGGCCTGAGTTCGACACTTCAAAGCTGGCCTTGTACTTGACCAGGATGTTCATGAGGGGCCGCAGCTTGAGCCACCACTGTTCTTTGGGAATCCTGTGCCTGTGGAGGGAAGGGCGGACAGCAGTGAGGCTGAGAGATGCCACAGTCAGCACAGTGAGTGGTCTTGCCAGAAACACGGGGTTTGTAGGGTTGGCTGAATCAACTAGATGATAAAGCCAATTTCAGGGTCAAATGAAACAAATGTTTTTATATTTCTAAAAATTCTTCCCAAAGACATAGTGGTGGTTTCTTATTGTTGTTCTTTTGAGACAGAGTCTTGCTCTGTCCCCAGGCTGGAGAGCAGTGGTGCAATCTCAGCTCACTGCAACCTCTGCCTCCCGGGTTCAAGCGATTTCTCCTGCCTCAGCCTCCTGAGTAGCTGGGACTGCAGGTATACACCGCCACACCTGGCTAATTTTTGTATTTTTAGTAGAGACGGGGTTTCACCATGTGGGCCAGGCTGGTCTCCATCTCTTGATCTTGTGATCCACCCACCTAGGCCTCCCAAAGTGCTGGGATTATAGGTGTGAGCCACCATACCTGGCCAAGACCTAGTATTTTTTAACTGAGTTTCAGAAAATCTAGTTCCACAAACCCCTGAATGAGTTGTCGGAAAGCAACAGCAATGGCCATTCCCCTGTCCTGTACTCACATTGGCTAGGTTTGCTAAGGCTGTAAGACCCCGACTTATTCAATCTGTTTGCTTCTTCAGCTCTGCCACAGGTTGAAAAATAACGTTTCTTTTGCTTATTCCCAGCACACAAATGGAATCATCAGTGGCCAATTTTTTTCCTATAAAAGATTTTAAAAAAAGATTAACAACACCCTGTCACATGGGCAGGTGGGACAGCAGAATCATGGGGTGAAATGAGAAGTAAGATTCCTGGCAACCATGCTGAACCTGGCCTGGAAGCCTGGGGGAGGCTGAGAACAACAGCGCAGTGTCGCCAGCGCCCAGCCTGGGCTTGCGCAGCTCTGCTCTTGTGGGATCGCCCTGATGGCTTCCTGGAAAGCAGCTTTTGTTTTTCCTCTCAGTGGAGAGAATCTTTCACTAGTGGAATAGGGAAATTAAGAAATTGATGCTCACGAACACACACACTGAGGCGTGAGGGCGTGAGAAACATCCATAGCTAAATTAGCAAAAGAAAATCGATGTAGAAACAATCAGTCAGTTCTTCAAAAAGACAAACCAACTGGAACTATTCATATCACTGTTTTTTGTAGACTGTCATTCTACATCGGACATTGGCAGTGATAATGGTTTGCCCTAATAAAAGCACACATCTGGTATGACTGAAGAAATCTGAGGGGAGTGGGGGCGAGAAAGATGCTGGCAGAAATAGCCACTCAGGAATGAGTGGGGACCAGCCACGTTGGAACCATTAACGAGTATTATACAAAATGTCATGTTTTTTAAAACTTTTCAGTTTATCTGAAGATTTGTTAGAATATGTAATTTACAAAACTGATTTAAGGAAAAACATGCATAGTTCTACAAACATGAACAATTCATTCAGCAGCCAAATCTTCCCCTAAGTCCCAAGGAGGTTGTCCTAACAAATATCCAAAAAATAGAAGGCCCCACTCAAACTGTGAAGGAAACTGCGGGCTGATGCTCAAGATCTCCAGAGCAAAAAGCCTGCACAAAAGAACTTCAGGTTGAATCTAGCAGTGATCATGAGAACATGTCACCCACGCCCAAGCTGACCTTATCCCAGGAATCCAAGGTTGGTTAAATAGCAACGCTCAGAGACCAGCAGGAGTTAGAACATCACACGCAGCTCAGTACTGGACTGAAGAAGGAACCAGCACACTCTACTTCTCCCCGATAGGACAGCATTTTCACCAAGGCAGACGGCCTCCCTCCCCCGACCCCTTACCTCTGCCCCGGGCCTCCTTGAGTTTCACAGTGATCCACTCCATAGCTCTGGCAGAGATTTTGGTTCCAAAGTTTCTATCAAATGGAGAGGGTGCCCCACTCTTTTGGTGGTTAGAGTCATATGAAATATCAGTTATACAGTAACACTTTGCTGTTAAATAGAAATGACGATTTCTATTTCACAGAATTCATGTTTTTATTTCTAGGTCTTTATGGATAGCTGGAACAGAACAAAACAAGATCTGTGATTTCTGTAGCCTGAACTCAGCCTGTTAAGCAAAAGTGTCAAGTGTTCCCCCTGCCCAGTAAGAGGAGAATTTTAATAAATGGAACGAGTCAACTAACAATCTCCAATATCTTAAAATCTTCAATCAGGATTTCATAAACTCATTTGGGGTGGGGAAGGGTCGCAGCTTTAAGAACCTGATAACCGTTGTGGATTCTTTAACAAAATCCTTCATATGCCTACTATTTCATCATCATTTCAGGGGATTCATCACCTCTCTGGAATAAATTCACGGGCTCTGGTTTAAAAGTATAAAGAATAGGAGGTGGTGAGGAAGGAGTGTGTGCGAGTTAGGAATGCTGGACCCCTGTGTCCCAGGCTCAGCTCATGACATGCGTGTGCCTGCATGCAGCTCATTCCAGGTCATTCTGATTTGGGGTGTCAAGTATATTACATGTCTGATAATCCATTTTAAATCTTAGGAAGCTCCAGTTTTTAACTTCATGAAGTGTTTAATTTGAATAAGCATTTCCAAGTAATGGGGATGTCACTGTTTTCATGAAAGCTGACAGTTCCCTTAAAATCCCCATTACTCAAACCTCACCAACAAAAGAATTCTAAAGCTGGTGATGTTTGGCATGACTTAAAAGTTTAGATGTTTTGGCTGGGCACGGTGGGGATCACGCCTGTAATCCCACCACTCTGGGAGGCTGAGGTGGGCGAATCACCTGAGGTCAGGAGTTTGAGACCAGCCTGGCCAATGCGGTGAAACTCCATCTGTACTGAAAATACAAAAATTAGTTGGGTATGGTGGTGGGTGCCTGTACTCCCATCTACTCCGAAGGTTTAGGGCAAGAGAATCTCTTAAACCTGGAAGAGGTGGAGGTTGCAGTGAGCCAAGATTGTGCCACTGCACTCCAGCCTGGGCAAGAGAGCAAGACTCTGTCTGAAAAAAAAAAAAAAGTCTCCCAGCTAACTGGGTGTATGCGTATACTCCAGATCATTTTGTTGTATAGTGACAACATATGCAACACATAATGCGACACAACAAACTGACACAGGATGTCAATGTCACCTAAGCCCAGGTAACAGGGAGTGATGAAGTCCCGTGCTGTGTTGCTCTGTGCCACCCAGAACGCGAATCATCCCTGTGCCCTAAAGTCTCCATGCTGTGGAGACTGCCCCTGAGTCACTCAGTAGCCGCCTTGGTTATCAGATGGTTATCAGTACCCACCCCCTCATGTATACAGGGGGCGGGTACTATCCCCAGGTTCAGGCACCCACTGGAGACTTGGGACACATTCCCTGAGGCTAAGAGGGATGACTATTTCCTTCTTCCTTCATAAACATCAGGTGCTAATTAGAGAAATGATTGTGAGATATCTAAAAGAGTAAGACTATAAAGCAAAAATTTTAGTTGTCTAAATGCGGGCAAGTTTTTAGAGCAATGCACCACCACTCTCTTCTGCATCTGCTCAGCGTGTAGTGCACTCCAGCGACAAAGAAATCACCACTCATCCAGCCCAAAGTTGCAGAGCAGAATCTAAGAACCGCAGTGTGACGGTGACCGTAAGATCAGCCCTGGTGTCTCACTCACCTGAGGACAAGGCCCCTCTGGATGGTGGTCTTCATTTTCTTCGTCAGGTGCTCCACATTGGACTGGAAAATAGCATTTTGTTAATCAGACAATAAACTTCTGCTAACCACCTACTATGTGCCAGGCCCTGCAGGGCGGAAAGTGCCAACCAGGCATGGCGGTTAGCGTGGCCAAGGAGGCTGCAAGCTCTCACAGCTTGGGTCTCGGGGAGCCTCCCCCAGGTGGCGAGAGCATGTCTGCAGCGATGAATGTCGAGCGCAGGGCACGGTGAGCAGCCCTCACGGGGGCCACTCGAAACGCCTTCCGGAATCAACAGGGTCCTTCTGAAGATGATAATTCCGTGACTGGCCTAGTGCTCATTCATGGCTCTATTGCTCCTTATTTATTTTCATGACGATGTTCTCTCGGCGCTCTCAGAGGAAAAGAGCAACCTGTGGCCTTTCTATGGAATCTCCTATGACAGCCTGATGAACAGTGTCTGACCAAAGAATTTTGTAGACTCTCATTCACACATAGATTTCTTAAGGCAAAGATTGTGTTAGAAAAGAGTAACAACATCTCAAGATGATCTGATATAGGAGGATTTCAAGAGGGAGGTAATTCTCTAATGACTCATCCTGAGAAAATGGAGATTTTTACATCTAATCAATCTGTCACTGGGCACAGTGGCAGAATTTCACAAAGTAGGAGCCTGGGCGCAGTCGCTCACACCTGTAATCCCAGCTCTTTAGGAGGGCAAGGCGGGTAGATTTCCTGAGGTCAGGAGTTTGAGACCAGCCTGGCCAACATGGTGAAACCCCGTCTCTACTAAAAATACAAAAATTAGCCGGGTGTGGTGGTGGGTGCTGTAGTCCCACCTACTTGGGAGGCTGAGGCAGGAGAATCACTTGAAGCCAGGAGGCTGAAATTGCAGTGAGCTGAGATTGTGTCACTGCACTCCAGCCTGGGTGACAGAGCGAGACTCCATCTCAACAACAACAAATCATAATTTCTCTTCTTAAGCTCTTGCCAGGTTGAATGCTGGTGAGGCAGGATCTTTGGACAGATTTCTGAAATACGGTCATGAGTCACATAACAGGGGGATATGTTCTGAGAAATGCATTGCTAGGTGACTTCAGTCTTGTGCAAACATCCTACAGTGAACTCTCATAAACCCAGGAGGCAGGGCCTGCTGCGTATCTGTTGTTCCTGACTACAAACCTAAATATCTGGGACTGTTGAATACTGCAGGCAATTGTGTATCTAAACATGTCTAGATGTAGAAAAGCACAGTTAAAAAAAAAATATATGTATATAACATATGTTTTTTAATATATATAATCTTTCTATAAAAGATAAATAACAGTGCACCTGTTTGGGGCAGCTCCAATATCATCTTATGAGACCCACCGCTGACAAAAACATCATGATGCAGTGAATGACTCCACAAGTATTTAATTTGACATGGTGAAGAAATTCGTGGTTCACATGTCACATAATTAGTGACAACACCAAGGCCCTTTTTACTTGATCTATTTGGCTCAGAAACAATTAACATCCTAACCTTTTAAAAGATAGTGCCAGGCCTGGTGGCTCACGCCTGTAATCCCAGCACTTTGGAAGGCCAAGATGGGCAGATCATGAGGTCAGGAGTTCGAGACCAGCCTGACCAACATGGTGAAACCCCATCTCTATTAAAAATACAAAAATTATCTGGGCATGGTGGCATGCGCCTGTAATCCCAACTACTCGGGAGTCTGAGGCAGGAGAATTGCTTGAACCTGGGAATCGGAGGTTGCAGTGAGCCGGATTCATGCCACTGCACTCCAGCCTGGGTTGCAGAGCAATATATAATATATATTTATTTATATAACTAACTAAAGACAATTGTTCAAGTTGCATTTTATCTGCCAAGGCCTGCCATCCTGCATGGCGTTCAGCAACTTTGAACACTGCAGGGTCCAGGCCTGGATTCTGCTGGGCCATCCAAGCAGGGGCAGACCCCGGGCTCGGTGACACTCTTCCATAAAAGAGCCACAGATGCCAAAAAACCACGGCCGTGTGTGTCAGTTTAGAGGCAGACACAGCATCAGAGGCCTCAAGATTTAAAAGAAACTGCAGCAACTTTCAGAGCCAGTCACAGACGTGGGTGGTGACTCTCAGCGGAGGTGCTCAAATCGTTTGTGACAGAAGTGAGAAAACATTAACTACACAACAGACTACATCAAAAAAACAAGCTTGTGTTTCACACAAGAGACTAGAAGGTATCCTCAACCAGGCACGTCCACCGTCACCTGATACACGGGAGAGGCACCTGGGCAATGCGAAAGGCATCAATCGTGGCGTGTTCTGTAGCACCTCCGTCTCCATGTCCCCTCAGAAAGCAAACCACCCTAGATGCGATGTTTCACTCCACAGCACCGAGTGGATCCAAAGGGGACGGTCCCCCAAGGCCAGCCCCCATCACATACCTGCAGATCCCTGATGTCGAATGGCTCTTCGAAAATGTATGCAGCATCGGCTCTGGCCGTGAGCCCCCCATGTTGGCGAGGTAGCCACAGTAGCCGCCCACGGTCTCGATGACAAACACACGCTGCTTAGTTCCACTGGCAGACTACTTGATGCAGTCGCAGGTCTGGTCACAGAGATCAGTCACTCCAGCCCAGGGCCAGGGTGCACCCACCATCCCAGAGCTCCCTGACGAGTGAGTGCACCAAGGCCTCCCACTGCACCTGAGCATGCGGCCCCAGCATCACACAGGGTTGAAGGATGTGCAGCAGCTGGGATGTGCCCTCAGAGTGGGTGTGAACATGCCCCCACTCCCCCCCTCCCGCCGCGGCAGCCACCTGGAGGTGACCTCAATGACCTGTGGTGGGGGCCTGGCCATCTGCCGCTCCCTTCTCCCAGGCCCCATAGGAGGAGAATGAAAAAACGACCCCACAAGCCAGCTCACTCCACGCTGCTCTCTGTCCCTGCTGAAGCAGCTTTCACCAGACACGGACACCGTTAGGTATGAGCTGAGAAGTTAGGGGGCTCTCACCTGCCAGTTTAGTCCATGGGAACAGCTGTGATCTTCTATTTTCTTCCATTAAAGCTCCCTGTGATTTTTAGAGCTGTGGCCATCTTCCATCCATTGGGGAATGTTACGTTTATAGAAACTACTCAAAGGCAGAGTGTGGTTCTTAGACCCAGGTGCCTGGGGAGTCTTTTGGATGCATAGGCATCAGGTCCCCAAGAGAAATGTCTGCCATCCGCCCTCCACAAGGACCCAAGCTCAGCGAGGAGAAAAACAACAGAGAAATGCATCGGCCACCTTCCCACCCACACACCAGTCTGGGCTGAAGCGCCCTCTCCTGGGACTGCAAAACCTCTGCCTAGGCCTCAGCTCCCACCCTGGCACCCTGCAATCTGTTCACACAGACTGGAGACCCATCTATAAAAAACATAAATCTGATCCAGTCATTCAAAACCCTTTGCTCACTTCAAGTACATATCAAGCCTTTCTCTGGAATCCCTGGCCCCACCTGCTTCTGATACCAGATCCCGCTCTAGATACAGCCACCCCAGGTCCTCCTGGGGTCTCTGGATATGCCGGCCGCTGTGTGCATTCAGGTACAGTGGTGGGCGGGAGAGCAGCCCCCAAAGGAATCCCGGTCCTAATGTCTGGAACCTGAGAATGTTCCCTCATGCGGTGATAAAGGTGAATCCTGAGGACTACCCAGGTGGGCCCTAAGTGCCACCACTTGCATCAGCAGATGAGGGGTGCAGAGGCTGAAGGCCATGGAGCAGGATGCTGCGCACCCACATGGGAGGAGGCGGCGCCAGGGAACAAGGCGGGCAAGGCCCGCAGCTCTGGGCACCTGAATAGGCCAACGAGGGACTCTCCTGGAGCAAACACTCTGGCCTCAGCCCATGGCTCCCGCCCTCCAGAGCTGTGGGAGAGTATTATTTTCCAGCCCCAGGTGTGTAGTCAGGGTCACAGCAGCCACGGGACACACACAGGCACCTTCCTCAGCTCTGACCCAGAGGGAAATGCCATTTCCTCAGGAAAACGCCGCCTGGTTTCTAGGACCACAAAGTTCCCTCTGTCGGGGGCTCTCGGGGCACCCCATGTCCTCTCTTCATAGAAATCACCTCAGAGTCTCTCCCTGCAGTTACCTCGTGGTTATTTGACTTTTAGTCCTCACTAGGCTGCAAATTCCATGAGGGCAGGAACTGTGGGCTGGGCTCACACCACTGCACCATCAGCAGGACACGGCCGAGCCCCTACAGCAGGCACTCAAGAAATGCTTGTCTCTGAATGACATAAGCACAGTATTCCCCAGCCAGTCAGCCAGCCGGCCGTCCTGGTCAAGGGCTGATCCTGCAGGATTCCCTAACCGGCCTCCATGGGACTCAGCCAAGAGTAAAAGCATGAAGTGGGGTGTGGACTTGAGACTGGGGGCCACATGAGAGTCTGTGCACCAAAGTTTAACACCCACTGGGAAATTTTCACTTGAGTACTTCGGATGAAATTTAAAAGCGCACTTTTTTGAATAAACACAGGCTTGATTAAACCATTCCGACCTATACTTCGTTTCTTTGGCAGATTCTTTTCCTCCCAAAATAATTGGGTGATGTATTCAAAAGTGAACATGGGCTCTAGTTAGTGGGCCACTTTGCATTGTGTAAAAGCTGAGATGGGGAGAGAAACAGGCAATGGGAAGAGTTCCCGTCTTTGTGCTTAGGAAGGACAGAGGACAGAAGCCCATCAAGAGTCCAAAGAGCCCACAACTGCCTTCTTGAAGGGCCAGTGCAGCATTCTGAGGGTTTCACTGTTCCACCTGTACTGGGTCTCTCTCTAATTGTGATCTAAGACTTAGGAGGCCGTAAGGCTTTAAGACTTGCCCTTTGTCTTAGAGAATCCCGGGCATGGGAAGGAAAATGTGGGTGGGGCATCAGGACCCCCAGAGGCACAAAGCCTCATGGGTTATTTTTCCAACTGAATCTCCCCCGCAGCCCACCCTGAGGTGGGGAATTACTGTCACTCATTCAAAGAATGACATCAGCCGCTTAAAGGCAAAAGAATTCTGCAGGCAAGCAGCTCTCCCAAGAGGCTGATTTGTGCCCCAGCATGTCTGAGTTCTGCTCCCGCCAGGCTGCTGCTGTGGGTGCGTGGAACAGCACAGCCCTGACACCTGAGCCACGCCCCCGACCGTGTGCTCCTCTCAGTGTAAACGCAGTGACAGCTGGGACGGAAGAGTCCGCCTCTGCTGGAGCTCAGATACAGCTTTCCTGAACTCTCTCATTACCTAGATGGCGTCTTAAGCCTGAATTAGCTTCTAAAAATAGCAAGTCCCTCTGGCGGTGCCTGAGGCAATTAGTCAAAGTAGCACTGACAAGAAGGCGGCCGATCCCAAGCGTGGCCCTGCCTGCCTGCAGTGTTTCACGTCTGGACACCTAGAAACTGCTAAAGGAGAGCAGAGCCAGCTGATGGCCGGACCCTAACGACATTCAGTGAAGAGGAGTCAAGCGCAGGGCCCAAGGAAGTCAATGGAATGAGCCGCTGCCAACCTCTGCAAAGCCAGTAGAGCATCAGGGAACACGACAGGGAGAAGCCCAGGAGAGAGATGGTCCTCAGCTCGAGTGGGAGGCACAGGAGGCTGCAGTCGACCTCACGGCCCCTCCGCTCCCTTCCCTGCACTGGAACTCAGTTCTGAAGGAAGAACCTGGAATAGAACTGCTGTTTTCCGAGGTTCTGTGCCAAGCTGAACTAAGGAGTCTCCAACAGGGCTGCGAGTTTTCACCGCAAACTCTGGAGCTGGTTTGGACGTGAACATCTAAGGTAAAGGCCAGCGGCTGCTCTCCAGGAGGCACCAGGCGGCCAATCCACTGACGTGACCCCACGTGCCAAGGTGGCCACCGTCCCGTCTGCAGCTGACGACCCTCTTGGGTCAGCTTATCAGGGACCAGAGGGGCCACCATGCGGGTGTCAGCACCACGCCCATGACCGGCAGAATCCACTCCTCCCAAAGCACATGTTGGTGAAACTGCCTGCTGAGGAGGGCATGATCTCGGCTCTCTAAAGAACCTCTCGTCTCACCAGGAAGGCTGTGGTTCCAGGCAGCGGCCCCCAGTGGGCACGCCTCTGTCCCAGAGCTCGTACGTACCAGGCACTCAAACACCTTCCTGCAGGCTCCCAAAGCTGACCCTGCAGCCTCGCTAGTCAACGCAGGCAGGAGAGGCAGGCTCCAGACAAATGTTGCTCACCACTACCCTAGTCTAGCGGGGATAGAAAAACGACCCCAAGGACTGGATATATCCTCTCACTTTTAATCAATAAAGACAGGTTCTTCCTAAGGCAGCGAAGCTAAAAAATTTACCCTGTTCTGGCCAGTGTGACCGACATAAAGCCAAGCTAGCAAAGGGTGAGGGGGAAATCTGGCTCATTCTTAGCACAGAAGAAACAGACTGCTAAAATAAATGAAAGAAAGCAATGGGAGGAAATGTTTCTTGCATTTGAAACATCAACTTGCTTTGTTCAAGAGGTTTAAGACACACGTAAGCCATGCTTAACACACACAGCCGGCTGTTTCTGAAGTCAGTGTTTCTGGAACAAAAGCCTTGGCCTGCCCCAGTGAACATTCACACTGAGCACACTGTCGCGAGGCTGCTTGGCCAGCCAGCAGGGGGCAGGAGAGCGCCACAGGTGCCATGTGGGGTCCCTGCAAACCGGCCTCACTCCCTGAGTCAAGGACCGTGCCTCCTGCCAATCCAGCGGCTTCCTCCAAGGGGAAGCGGCCTCTTCAGCTGCCACCGCACTGACTTCAGAAGGCTCAGCCAATGGAACAACAGATTCAACAGAGGTCCATGTTGTTAAAGGAAAACTTCTGTTACCAGGCAACCTTAATATCAGATTCAACGTAAAATAGCCAACAAGATCGTTTCCAAACCAACATGCTAGTAGTGCCTTATCCTTCAATGCTGCTTAAACACGGAGAAGAATGAGGAAAAAAGAGCATGGCACTTCTTAAAAAATAACCTCTTCCAGGTTCCTTTCACCCATATCATAAAGACTTACAACTGTGGATTCCCTACAGGAACATGGAGTGGGGGTGGATCCCCACGCTGACCCAGCCTCCCCCTAGGTCAGTCACCCCCCCTCACCACGGGGTTCACACCTCTCCAGACACTGTCACCTCAACAAGGAAAGGTGGAGTCTCTGAGCTCTCTTCACAGGGAGCACCCGAACGGGAGCTAGAGAGACAGACACACCCACAACTGCTATAAAATCCAGAAACGCAATACATATTTAAGGACTTCATTATTATTTAAAACTTGAAGAACAAAGTGAGCCTGCTTTTAACCTCTCTGCCACAATAACACCGTGTACGTCTGTCTTCTACCATTTGTTCCTTCTCCAGCAGCTGTCGCCTGGCTGGCCGCCTGGAGAAGAGGAGCCTCCGGTACTCCTGGGAGGCCCTCGGTAAAAGCGTGAGCACCACGATCATATCTCAGGACGCTGCACACTTTAGGGTCGACCACAGACCACCATTGCCAATGCGTGGAAGGCACTGAATGGGCCTCCTGCTCTTCGTAAAGCACCTCTCGTAAGCTATGTTGTGTTGAAAATTTTTAACTGCAGTCCAACACATACTTCTTTGTTTCTGTCTTGTTTTTATCCTAGAAGCATATTATTATGGAAAATTAAGTTTGCAAGTGTGAAGGGTTTTCTGAAAATCGACTTCTAATCCTGGAAGGACAAAAAAAAAAAAAAAAAAAAACTGTGCCAGATGTGGTGCTTACGCCTGTAATGTCAGCAGTTTGGGAGGCCGAGGCGGGCAGATCGCTTGAGCCCAGGAGTTTGAGACCAGCCTGGAAAACATTGCAAAACCTTGTCTCTACTAAAAATACAAAAAAAAAAAAAAAATTAGCTGGGCGTAGTGACGTGTCTATTCCCAGCTACTCAGGAAGCTGAGATGGGAGGATCACCTGAGCCCAGGAGGTAAAGGCTGCAGTCAGCCAAGGTTTGCGTCACTGCACTCCAGTTTGGGCGACAGAGTGAGACCACCTCTCAAAAAAAAGCAAAAACTGTATAAATCAGTACAGAAGGGAACTGGCCAGGCACGGTGGCGCACGCCTGTAATCCCAGCATTTTGGGAGGTTGAGGTGGGCAGAT